CATATGTCGCGCGTTTGCTCGCTGCGCGCCGTTCGCCCGCTCACCGCTCCCCGCTCGCCCCGTTCTCTCATCGATCGATGCGTGACTCCACCTCTCGCTATTGAATCTTGAGAGATGTCAACAAATACACCATTTTGCATGTCTGCCGAGTCCGGCCTTCCGCTCCTCCGTGCACTTATTGGCTCAGACGTTTTTCTTAATTACGCGATAATAATTACGGATTTTGTAAAATGGTATATAACTTTTCTTCTCAGTTTGACCCAATCTATTATAATCTTTGGAGTCGTCCAAATCGAATCCGACACTGTAGATGTCTAATATTTGATATAAAATCAAATATCATATCTCAGATGAAATAATCATGACTTTTCACAATCTGGAAGACATCTCTTAGATATCCAGGCGACATCTGAATAGCTTCTTGTATCAGATATTATAATCTTTAGATATCTCCTAGATATCTTTGTAACAGGTATTGCTGTGTGGGTTACGGATTGACAACGAACGCTGTTCTTGATTTCTGAATTGTGATGTTATCTTGACGATGCGATCGTCAAAGATTGGCTCCTTCCCGATGTTGAGGATGTCAATCATTATTCAAATGTTTTGCACCGCGGATCCCAGTGATTTAAAAAATTCTACGTTTGATGTATTGAGCTTTTTCTTCTTGCAGCGACTACTGGATGACTTGGTACTGCGATTAAACGACGTGAACGACCACCGTAAGAACATAGTGATTGTCGAGTGAACAGCGGCGAAGAAGGAAGGACAATCAAGGCGATCACGACTTCAGGACTACAATATTGGCTCTTGCAACCAATCGCACAACCCTCAGGACGAGTTACGCATCGCAAGGTTGAGGACGAAGGATTACGCAGCGAGATCAAGGCTAAGGGCAAGTCCATTCCAAATATAAATCAAGTGGTCGATTAAGCAATTTCCTTTACCTACTCCCAAACGACAATATGGCAGATCGAATTAAGTTATTAGTTCAAAAGCGAACGTCGTTAAAATCTCAAATTACGGGTTTGCCGAGCAGTAGACGCGAGTTTAAACGTGGAACTTCCTGGCATCACGTGCCTAGTTAAGAAAGACTTTGTCAGCAGCCAGGTTTCGGCGCTTGACCCCATGACTCATAACAAGGAAAATAAGAATACGCGTCCAGGTGTTCGCGCTAATCAAAGGCATCCCGGTGATATCTATTACATGTACACGCCGCGGACCTCCCCTTCCCTGCGTCGAGGGATCGCGTAGCGTCGCGGTCCTCCTCGCGCCCCCGCGGATCGCGTAGTGCTGCGGTCCTCTCCTCCCCACACCGCGGATCACCGCGGAATATCTCCCTCCCCGCGCCTCCGCGGAGAGCCAAGCGCTGCGGAATAATAAACGCGGAACTCCTCGACATCGTTCACCTTGATAAGAAAGTATCATTGCCAGCAGCCAGGTTTCGGCGCTTGACCCCGTGACTCATAACAAGGAAAATAAGAATACGGGTCCAGGTGTTCGCGCTAAAAAAAGAACCGATATCTATTACAGTGACAGGTCAGCACCTAGATATCTGTTACATGTCACGTAGTGACAGGTCAGCACCTTGCGTGACGTGAAGGTCACGTACTCCCCCTCCTCCCCGCGGCCCCCGCGCCCCGGAGTACCCCCCTCCCCGCTCCACCTCGCCTGAGCCCCCTCCCCGCTCCCCCCTCGCCTGAGTTAGAACCGGTCCATATACCCTACTGGCCCCGCGCTGCGCGTTGTCTCGCGCTCCTCTGGGCTCAGCTGAACCTGGTCCTAAGAAGGATCGTTATTTCTTCTTCGCGACGGGGGTGCCACCGGGTTCCCGTCGCGCCCCCTAGTTGTTGGTTGGGGGGCTGGTGGGCCGGGGGTCTCCAGCCCTCGACCCACCCCCAAGGATCACTCGGAACTCCTCGGACTTCGCGAGCAATCTCCTCCTGTCCGATCGGCGATGATGACGACCGGCGTCTTCCGTGGATCGGAAATCCTCCTTGTTGGTATAACCGCGGGGGGGAGGCAGCAGGCGAATGACCCCACCCCTAGGGGCGGAGCCAGCCGACCCACGAACCCCCCTCCCCTCCGGGCTATCCTTCTCTGAGATGTGCCGGGGTTCCTCTTCTTCTCCTTCTCCTAGGGCCCGGCGCTCTTCCCTGCGAATTAGGGGGTCGACCTCCCCCCTTCTTATCCGCTCCGCGTCCTCTTTCTCCCGCATAATTCCCTCGCAGAATGCGGAGAACGCTCTCCATGCTGTCTCATCTCCCACTATGACCTCGACGACCCTCGGGAGAGACAGGTCCTCCCCAATCGCGTCTCTAAGGACGCGTCTCTGGCCCAACCACGCCGGACAATGCTAGCGTGTGTTGGGCCGTATCTTCATCGTCGCTGCAGTGGTGACAGCGAGCTGTTTCCTCCCTACCGATACGCCGCAGGTACCCACCGAAACATCCGTGTCCGGTGAGCACCTGCGACGTTCGATACGACGCCCTTGACCAGGGCCGCTCCAGCCAATCGTCTAGACACGGGAGGATGGCCGTCACTGTCCGTTGACCCGCACGTCGGGCCGCTCGAGCCAGCACCTCCACTCCTTCCTAGTGTCCCACTTGAGTTGAAGGGCTATTGCCCTCTTAACTCTGTCATGAGCCGGCATTCCTGCCCGCTTCAACTCGGCCACCCTCTCATACATCGCCGCGTGTGCTTTGGCGACAAACTCAATGGGCGGGATGCCAGCCATTAGAGTAGCCGCCGCCCTCGATACCGTGCGGTATCCCCGGATCGCTCGGATTGCCATCCGGCGTTTCGTTTTCCGCAGTGCAGCCGCGGCTGCCTTCTCTTTAATGAGCGCATCTGCCCATATGGGGGCGCCATAGAGGGCAATCGAATTTGTAATGTTGCCATACAATCTTCGAACCCTGCCGTTTGGCCCTCCTAGGTTCAGCATTACCCTGGATAGGGTATTGGCCGCCGCGTCAAGCCTGGGTCCAAGTCCAGTTAGGTGGTCCTTGAATGACCATCTCCCGTCAATATGCAATCCGAGATATTTGATCAGCTTGCCTACCTTTACCCGCATTCCGTCTACGCTGATGTACATATCCGGCGGTTCCCCCTTGGTGCCGTCGTGGACAAAGATGGCTTCAGTCTTGCCAGCCGACATTTTCATGCCCAGCGACGCTATCGCCCTTACTGCACACGCAACCGCGATATTTGCATTGTCTGTAGCTTCTCGCCACCCACCCCCGCCAGCCAGCACAAGTGTGTCATCTGCATAACAGATGAGCGTGCTGCCGGCGGGCATGGGTGTCCTGAGCACTCTGTCATACGCGACGTCCCACAGGATCGGCCCTAGCACCGAGCCCTGCGAGACGCCGCGCTCCGCGTCCCATCTTCTTCGGGTCCCCTCTTGGTCTTCACACGAGATCGTTCTGTCGCCCAGGTAGCTGACGATCACCTTCTTCAGATATGCAGATACCCCCAGCCCCTCTAGCGCGGTTCTTATCGCCTTGTGTGGGAGGGAGTTGAAGGCATTGGCTGTCTAAAGCCACAGCCAGCACTACCCTTCCCTCCCCCACGACCTCTTCTGTGTGCGCTTTGACGCATCTAATTGCATCAACCGTGGACCTGTTCGGCCTCAAGCCGAATTGGCGGTCTCTCAGGCCTTGCTCATCTCCTCTGGCCTCCAGTTCCCGGGCGAGGCGGGACGTGATTACTCTTTCAAAGAGTTTGCCCGCCTCGTCCAGGAGACATATTGGCCTATAGTTCGACGGGCTGTCCGGCGGCTTCCCCGCTTTTGACATTTTTACGTGTCTTTTTTTTTTACCCGGTGGAAATCCTCATGGACCGTCCCCCCACTCCGCTGGGACGGAGACGGGGGGTGTGTGGGACTCACTCTCCCTATACCCCAGGCAATTGACGACCTGGGGCCAGCGTGCAATGGAGGGTGCCTACCGCACTAAAACCACCGGGGGTGGACTTCTCTGCGCATAACTGGGCCACCTAGGAATCGCGTGGACATTTCTTCTAGGTGGACCCGCGCCGCGCGTAACTCGCGCTCGCCTTGGCCTAACCTTTGGCCCGGTCCTTACAAGGGCCTTCTCCTATATCTGCGACGAGGGTGCCACCGTCCCCTCGCCGCTCCCCCTAGTTGCTTGTGGGGGAGGGCGGGTCGTGGGTCTCCAGCCCACGCCCGCCCACCAGGGGTCCCGTAGGACTTCCTGATAAAAGCTTCTTTTAGTCGCCTCTTACGACAGGCAGGAGTTACCCCAGGCCTATTCTTACGGCGGGACCTGGACGCCTTAACATCCCCCTTTCTATCTCGTGTGGTACCTTGGTGCCCTTTGTCCTTGCGGCGGACTATCACCTCCTTCTCTCGATGGGGTATCCATAGTGGGCGAGAGTATTTCCCCCCCCCTTATTTGAACGTCCCCTACCACTTGCGCAGATGCGCTGGAATTCCGCGGGGGACCCTTCTGCGTCGCCCTCTCCGCTGACTCCCGTTCCCTCTAAGCTGGGGGTCCGGAGGATCAACCTCTCCCCTCCTTTCCCTCTCAGCTTGCTCCTTCCGCGACATTACTCGCTCGCAAAAGAGCGCAAAGGCCTCCCAGGCCTCCTCTCGCTCTGTCACGGCTTTAACTACCGCCGGCAGCGAGAGGTCTCCTCCTAACTTTCCTATGAGAACACGACGCTCATTGCGCCGCGTCTCTCTCCTCGTCGCAATGGTGGCATCGTGGATCAGGTTCCTTCTGGATCCTATGCAGGTACTAACCAAAGCAACCATGCCCGGTGAGCACCTGCGTCGTCCTATAGGACGCCCGCGTCCATGAGCGGTCTACCCTCTCATCCAAGTGAGGGAGGATGGCCTGGACTGTCCTTTGACCCGCCCGGTTCGGGTCGGCTAGCCATGTCCGCCATTCCTCCCTCACTCTCTTCTTAATGCGGAGGCTGAGGAGCCTCCTCCCCCTCTTAGGCACCGGGATCCCCCTCCCCTTTCGCTCCGCCACCTGCTCGTAAACTTGAGCGTGTGCGCGGGCGTTCATCTCTATTGGGGGCATCCCGGCCATCAACGTGGCTGCCGCGTGGGATATCGTCCTCTACCCCCTGACCGCCCTGATCGCCATGCGGCGTTGAGTTTTATTCACCGCTATGGCCTTCCTATTCTCCGTCAGGGCGGCCGACCACACTGGGGCTCCGTACAGCGCGATCGAATCGATAACATTCGCGTACAGCCTCCTGATTTTCCCACGCGGACCGCCCAGGTTGGACATCAAGCGCGACAAGGCACTCGCTGCTTTGTCCAACCTGGGCGTCAGCCGGTTGAGGTGCTCCTCAACCCTCCATCTACCATCTACATGGAGGCCCAGATACTTAATCTGGGCCCCCACCTGGACACGGACGTCCTCCACCCTGATCCACGATGCCGGCGGCTGTCCCAGTGAGCCATCGTGTATAAACACGGCCTCCGTCTTTCCCGCCGCCACTTTGAGGCCTAGGGCTCCTATAGCCCTTGCCACACAATCAATTGCTACGTTCGCCACTTGGGTCGTTTCTTCCCATCCCCTCCCACTGGCTACCACCAGAGTATCATCTGCATAGCAGATGGTCGTGCAACCAGTAGGAAGGGCTGCGTCTAACACCCTGTCGTACGCGACGTCCCACAGGATCGGTCCTAACACCGATCCCTGTGGGACGCCGCACGCCGCCTGCCACTCCCTGCTCTCGCCTTCCCTGTCTCTGCAGGTGATCTTCCGTCCCTCAAAGTAGTCCCTGATTATCCTCTTCTGATAACCAGGGACTTCCATGCCCTCTAGGGCTCTCCTAATCTCTACGTGGGGGAGGGAGTTGAAGGCGTTTGCTATATCTAGGGTAACCGCCAGCACCACTTCTCCCTCCCCCATCATATGGTCAGAGAGGGACTTTAGGCGCTTGATCGCGTCCACGGTCGATCGTCCCTTCCTGAAACCATACTGTCTGTCCAACAGGCCTCGTCCTTCGCCTCCTTCCAAGTGCCTGGTTAGGCGGTTGGCCACCACCCGCTCCATCATCTTCCCTGCCTCGTCCAGCAGACAGATGGGTCTGTAACTGGACGGGGCTTCGGGTGGCTTACCTTCTTTGGAAGAAGGACAAGCCTCGCCTCCTTCCAAATGCTTGGGAATTTTCCCTCCCTTAGGCAGGCCGTGAAGAGCGTTCCTAGCCTTTGGGACATTTCCCCTACTGCCACCTTCCACGCAACTGCTGGGATGCCGTCCGGTCCCGGGGCCTTACCTGCCTTCAGCTTCTTTGCAGCCGCTATCAACTCGGCCTCCGAGACCTCTAGCACCTCCTCGTCCTCATGGTCCTCTCGCAGTTGGTGTGCCTCCTCGTTCATCTCCTCCCCGACCGGGAATAAGGTGGCTACCACCTCCTCAAGGAATTGGGGATCGAGCGATTCTACCGCTGGGGGCGCCCCGCTGTTCAGTCTGTTCATGACCAGCCTGTAGGGGCGTCCCCACGGATCCTCATCCAGTGTACCGAGGAGCTCTTCCCAGGCTGCCTCTTTGGCCCTTTTAACGGCCACTCTGAACTCAGCCCGCCGCTCGCGGTACACCTCCTTGAGTTCGTCCACATATGCGGACGGCCCCCTCCTCCTCCGCTTCCTTTGCAGGGTCCTTCTCGCTCCGACCGAGGCTTTCCTCAGCTCCGAGATCTCCTCGGTCCACCAATAGGCGCTCCTCCTTGGCACGAATTTGGCTCGAGGCATAGCGCTATCGCACGCTGTTGTCATCGCGCCTCTGAGCCAAACCGCCTCCTCCTCTATGTTTCTGCACCCAGGGGCCCACGCCCCCAATTGGCAGCCGCTAGCGACGCCAGGAGCCTGTCTGGGTCCATTTTACGCGTTGTTCATCTCCGTGGACCTTCCCTCTCCGCTGTTCCGCCGTCTCTCACACGGAGCTCCATCTCAATTGGCAGGTGGTCGGATAAGATATCTGTCTCCTCCGCCACCCGCCATGAGACCACCCTCTCGCAGCCGCAGGGGATATCCATGATACAATCTATCACGGGTTCCACTGCGTCCGCACGCACGTGCTCCTATTCCCTCTATTCATGAGGTTGAGCCCTAAACGTGCAACCCACTCTACTACCTCGCCCCCTTGACGTCCGGCCGCCGGGAACCCCACATTGCCGATTTGGCGTTAAAGTCCCCGGCGACCAGTATGGGGGCTGGCAGCAGTCCCGCGATCTCATTTTCGAGGGTGTCGAACCTATCCTCGAACTCGTGACGGGACAGGCTGGGCCGCAGGTACACTCCTATGACCGTCAACGGTCCCCATCTTACCGCGACCCATCCCTCACCGCCACCTATTCTGGACGCCGGAGTATGCCTCTCCTTTGTCTTTATCCATGTTATAGCCACCGAGCCGTCCGTACTGCCCGCCCAGCATGGGTGCTTGGGCACTCTGTTTGGCTCGGCGGCTATACCTATCCCGCAGTTCTTCTCCGCCAGGCTATGCAAGAAAAGATCTTGCGCCTGGCGGGAGCGGGCCAGGTTTGCTTGCATCACTCTTAACATGAAGGCGATGTCCCTTCAGCCTCCTCCTGGCTTTCTCCTCCTCTGGTCGCCGTTGGTTCGGCTCCCTGCTCTTTTTCAGTTAGGGTCTCGGCCTCCATTGCCTGTCCGGCTCCGGAGGCCCCCCCCCTAACCTCTTTAACCGCTTCCTCTTTTGCCTTCTGCGCTCCCGTTTGCCTGGCCTTTTTTGCAGCCTTTTTTATAACGGGGGGCAGGCTGCCCCTCTAGCCTTGTGTTTGGCTGGCAGCCCCCTCGCCACGCACACCGAGCACTGCGGTTCCTCGGTGCACGTTTGGGCCTTGTGCCCCTCCCTTCCGCACCTGTAACAGGTGTTACTTCGATCGACGGGATTTCGGCACTGCTGCCTCACGTGCCCCCGCTCTAGGCAGCGGAAGCACACGAGTGGGCGGGCGTCGAGCAATTCTACCCTTGCCGACGCCCATCCCACCTTTATCCCTCCTCTTTTCGGCCATCCTTTTGGCCACAGCCAGTGGGCAGCATTGCACCCACACTGTGACCATACCCCCGGGGGCCGACTTCAACTGGCCTACCTTTATCTCCGCCCCGTCGCACTCTCCGACTTTGGCTACCACCTCCTGGAGTTCCGCTTGAGTCACTAACTCGTTCAAATCTTTGATGCGGATCTCTCCCATCTTGGACGGTCTCGTGACTCTTACTCCCTCCTTGTTCCCTACCGCCTTGCGAATGTGCTCGGCAAGCAGGTTCGCCTTCTCCATTTTCTTGTCCCCTGCCACCTCTAGGATTAGGGCCCCGGTTAGGGCCTTCCTTTGTTTGAGGGGGCCAATCCCCAATTCGTCCAAGTTGATCTTGGACTGAATGTCCCTCATTCCCTGCGCGAATTCTCCCGCAGGGAACATAATGGACACCGCCTCGCTTCTCGGAGTCCTTCGCTTCCGCTGATCTGAGCCCCTCCCTTTGTCCGTCGCTGGTTGGGTCGCAGCTTCCTTTTTCATGGGAGCGTTCTTCCCCTCGTTGCTTCCTTTGGATTTTTGGGGTGCGCTTTTCCCATCCGCAGGTTGCACCCTCTTCGCCGGCTTCTTTGCGGCTTCCGCGTAGGTGCCTCTACGCTGCAAGGGAGTCTCTTGCTTCTCCCTCGGTTGCTCCTTCTTCTGCAGCGTCTTCGTCTGCGCTTGCCTCGGCACCCTTTGCGGCTTCGGCATCTCCTCCTTATTGTCGGGCTTGGTTGGAGCTCCCTTAGCTTCTTCCGCTCTGTTCCCTGACTTTCCTCTCTTCTTCCTGTCGGAACGGGTTTGTCGGGAGACATCGCGGTCGTCAGCTTTCCTCTCCTCTGGGTGGGACTTTCCTTCCTCTTTCTTGTCCTTGTTCTTCCGCTGATCTGGAAGTCTGAACATAGCTCTTTGACACCCGAGGATTACATCCTCAAGTTTTTTGCGCATGGAGGCTGCATCCTTCTCGTTTGTAATAGCAGAGATGGAGATTCCCTCCATCACCTGCCTTATGCCCTCCATCGCTTCCTCCCGGTTATCCTCTGTTACGTCCTGTGGACTCCACGATTTCTCTCTTTCAAAAACCATAAGAGGCATGTTTTTCTTCCCTTGGAAACTACAATCTTATCAATCAGCGGACATCGACTAGGTAACGCACGAGTCCCTTCCCCACACAAAGTCCATTGCTAGAGTTTCACTTTTCGAAACTCGAAACGTAAACAATTACACACTGTGTACATATTTGATTATTTACTGTCTTTATCATCAACACTACGTACGTTCACAAGGGAAGTGTTTCTCGAGATGGAGCTTAAGTCTTAAGTTTAGTGCTCTGATTGTTTACTGGTCGATAGCCGTTGAAATAATAAAAAGGGAAGAGATAACAGACAGGATGGGATCAGGCCCTTTCAGACGGCAATTTCAAAATCCAGATTGCCTAAATATTATGTTGACCAAAAACATGACCCAAAAGTAAAACTCGGAATTTTTCGAGAGCCGCTGAAGGAAATGATACCCCTAAATAAATATCAAAGGGCGACAACGACTTAATGGTCGGGTTGCCAATAAGAAAGACAACCCCCTGACACCTCCCACTAATCCACCAATGAAGAACCAAATTCCAAAATCCCCTTCCGCGTCCCATGACCAAGACCCACCCCCGAAAAATCGTATATAAACCCGAAGCCTGCTGCCTTACTCTCTTTTGGCAGCTCCCGAGTCCATCAGCGCAGCTCTCTACCCGATTCTCCGAGTTCTGAGTCTACATTATTCTTTAATATCGTTTATATTCTCAAAATAAAATCTGTGCGCGACCTAGCCGACGAATCTGACACCTATCTGAGCCCAGCCGCCTTCGACCAGCTACCGCAAACCACCATCGATCGCAATCAGTAGTAAGTCGCACGTTGTCTTTTATTTTCATTTTGTTTCGGCTCGACGACCTTTCCCCCAATTAATTTTTATTTTTTTATTCCGAGGGACTTTCGCTAGTTCTAACTTCCTCATCCATCCTCTTGCGAACTAACGCCAAATATCCATTCTTCAAAATTTCGTTTTGTGTCCGCGGATTCCGCCTTAGCGTGAATCCGACACGATTCGAAGAGTTCCATTCCTCAAAATTTCGTTTTGTGTCCGCGGATTCCGCCTTAGCGTGAATCCGACACGATTCGAAGAATTCCATTGCTCAAAATTCGTTTTGTGTCCGCGGATTCCGCCTTAGCGTGAATCCGACACGATTCGAAGAATTCCATTCCTCAAAATTCGTCTTGTGTCCGCGGATTCCGTCTTAGCGTGAATCCGACACGATTCGAAGAATTCCGCTCCTCAAAATTCGTTTTGTGTCCGCGGATTCCGCTTTAGCGTGAATCCGACACGATTCGCTTTCTCCTCTAAACCCTCATCCTGAAATTATCAACTCATAAATTATTGATAATCAGAAACTCTAGCCAAGCTCCCTAATTCGATATATTTTAGTGGACTCACGGATCCACTTAAAATAGGAGAAAGTCGCGAGCCGTAGTCAAACGTTTAAGGAACCTGAGGAATCGGCATCCGCGTCGGTTAGCCGCTCTAAATAATATTTCTCAGGATGATCACTCCTCTTCTCCCACTTTTCCCTCCCTCTTCCACTACCATTAAAGACCATTAATAAATCCCTCACACACACAATACACACACAGTCACACCCGCGAAAAATGTAAAAATTCGACAATCCAAATGTACATATAGCGTTAACACATATAAATGTAACACCTATTGATCTCTTTTAGTTAGTAAAAATTAGCCTTTAGTCTATCTTATTTCTTTTTCTCTCAAATACAATGTCAAGAAGTAAAACTACCTTCTTTTTATTTTATTAATCCTAATCTAATGTCTAGATGTAGACAAATCGTAAATATATTATGTTAAACCTATCTCTTTCTATTTTAATTTATTTCTAAAGACCTCACCCCCTTCGTTCCCCTTTGAGAGTGCACAAGGTCCGTCCCAGGGTAATAGGGATTAATTTCCTTGACCTGAAATAGGACCTGCGATCGCACCGCTCTTGAAAAGAGTCATAGTGTCCTCACGGACATTGGCCTTTTTAGAACCTTAGAAAAGTGCGTTCGCTTCCACGCCCCTCCGAGCGTGTTAGCGAGATATTTAAACTTGCTAGTTGCGTCATTCCATACCTCCACATTCCAAAGGTTTTGACGTAACACCTCCATCTCCTTCTTTTGCCCTTGGATCTCAGGGCGGAGGACCTTTATCGCCCGTTTAAAGGGCTCTATCCTCTTGATCACTACCACAGGTCTTTTGGTGGCAGTGATCATAGGAGCCGATGGGGAAGGAGGAAGAGATTCCTCTCCCACGTCCAACTCCATATCTCCCACATCCAGCTCCATATCCTCCTCCTTTTGTCCGGGCCTGGACTTATCTTCCGCTTGTTCCGCCTTTGTCTTTTCACGTTCCGCCTTGGCCAGCTGGCTCTCGAGGTCTCTAACCCTCCCTCTGAGTCCGCCTTTCCCTTCTCCCCTGGGTTTTTCGGGGATCATGGCTTCCTGCGTAGAGGCCGCGGCCTTTTGCGTGACGGCAATTACCGCCGCCCTAAGGGCGTTTGTGGAGTTTACGAGTTCCCTCACTAACGTGCCCTTTAGGCTTTTGGATCGCCTTGCGACCTTTTCAACCACGTTGATGCTGTCCAACATGTTTGCCGCAATCTTCTCCGGGGCCATGCTTAAGAACTGATCTCTCAGCTCTCTTTCGGGCGTTGTATCCCGCATGTAGGGCCGCGGGAAAACTCTGGGATCCATGATCTCCTTCAGAGCTCTCCTCTCCTCTCTGAGCATCCTTATCTCCCTCTTATGCTCCCTCTTTTTCTGGGCCATTAGATGGTCGCCCGTTATGGGAGGTCTTCCGCGCTTCCTTATTTTCGTCGGCACGCTTCCCTCGCTGTCAGTGTCCGTCTCGTCTTCCGAGTCCGACACAACGCCGACGCACGGTTCCGTGTCCGGACCGTCCATCTCCTCAATCTCCGCTGTCTTCTTTTCTGACAAGGACGGTTCTGGTTCCTGAGAATCCAGATCCGGTTTCCCCCTCGTCCTTTTCCGCAGGGCCCGCTGGTCCTTTCTTTTCTCAAGAGCAGTCGTCTTCTCGCCTGCTCCCGTAGCAGTCTTCCGCAGAGGGTCTTCGTTCCTCTGCTTCGAGCCGCTCGCCACCACGTTTCCTCCAGTTGTTTTTGTTTTTGTGTGTTTGGCGGAATCCATATCGCATAAGTTTAGTTCTTCCCGTTCTCCCATTATGGGACCCCCACCTCGGTGGGGGATCTATCCCGGGGTTGGAAGTGCCCTAATTATGGGCTGGGAAGTGGAGATGCCGTTTGTTAGGGAGTCACCCCTATCCCAACCAGTGAATCTAATAAAAAAAGTCCCTGGAGACGGCCAGGCCCACTATGATGCGATAGTTTTATACTCACCCCGGGGTCCAGGCGCGTGCCGATCCGATCGGTCGCTCACCATGGCCCCAGGCTAGAGTTCGCGAGGGAACTTTCCCCCCTCACAAGGGTATGAGAGGACGTTGGCTAGACGGCCTCTCCATACCCGCGCCCTGCGTGCCGGTTTCAACTCCCTGATAGGCTCCAGACAGACGAGACGGGAGCGGTTATCCCACATTAAACATGCCATTTCCTGCGGCCTTTGCCAGTAAACTGGGCTTACGGTCCCGCGTAGTCTATGGCAGAGGTCAGGTACAGACGTCACCGCTCGTCCCCGGTCGGGGGGTTTACTACTCCCCCCTTGGTCAGTCTCAGGGAAATATCCACCGGCAGCCGACCGCGGCCCATTCGCACACCACATACACCCCGCTCGTCGCCACTCCCCCGCCCCCCCTTATGCCAGGCCGCACGCCCCAGCAGCGGGACGTCGGCCCCAGACACAGGGGTTGACGGGTTCACGATGCCGAGCGGGTGTTGGGCGGCTGACTTGCCACCCAACACTCCAGACCCCGAGGCCCCGCCTGGGAATAATTCCCAGCGGCCCCCAGGGTCTCCCGGGCGATCGGGCCCCGCCTCGGAAACGTCCGAGTGGCCCCGATCCCCGTCTGTTTTCCGGCCCACTCCGCGGATCCTGGGTCCCACCCAGTTTACCGCGAAGGTCCGGCCCCTCCCCCCGGAAGAAACGGACCACGTCCGAGTCAACCGCGGGGAGGCCACGACTTCCGGCCCACCCTTCGGCCAGGACCACGTCCTGTAGTGCCTCCGGGGTCCGGCTCTCCTCCGCCCGCGAGCAAGTCCACGACGAGCTCGTTGACGGAGGAGCTTCCCCTTGCCACCGCCTCTGCCGGAACACCGGCGTGCAATGGCAACTGGGATTCCTGCCCCCTCGTCCGGGTTCCCCCCGATCCCTGCCGGAACACCGGCGTGCAATGGAATCGAGGGGGAGACGACCCGGTCCGGTGGGTGGAGCAAGCTCCCCCCTATCGGCCCCGGAAGCCGGAGGTTTGAACTCGGGGTACCTCATCCCCTACCGGCGAGTGGTCTCAGTTCTGTCTCGACTCGCGTCGAGGCAGCCGAGACCGGAGTCGTCGGGCTCCTTGTTTCCCCTTTTCAGGGGAAAGGCAAGCTCTTAGTCGGCGAGAGCCCGTCACCGAAACCGCCGATGCCTAAAACACAGCGGCTTCTAGACAGACTCTCGCCTACAAGCCCCCTCACCACGTCAAGGTGGCTTGCCACGAGGGGGTTTTTACGTGTCTAGGTGAACAGTGTCCATCTTTCACGTGTACAAATAAATGGTGTACAACTGAACGGTGTACATTTTTGACGTGTCTAATTGCAACGTGTCGAAAATTTATTTTCTATGTGTCCAAAAATCACTGTGTCTAAAATTTCTGTGTCTAAATGAACCGCGTCCAATTGAACCGTGTACACCAAAATGTGTCCATTCGAACCGTGTCTATTTGCAGCGTGTCCAATTGTACTGTGTCCAAGTGAAGGCCACTCGTTGTGATGATTGCTGGTGCTCCGTATCTCGAGATCCATGTGTTGAAAAAGACAGTGACTATTATGTCTGCGTTGCAATTGGTGTTGCTTCTGGCCATCTCGTGGTGCGGTCTATCATTGT